TGTTCAGATTTATTATTAACTCATTTTTTATTTTTTTTTGAGTTTCCTCCCTTTCTATTGCAAAGACCCCATATGATCTATAATTTTAATAACTTGCCTCCCAAATAATTAGATGAACATGATCTGTCTGCAAATGATTGTTTTTTAAAATTTTACGAAATGAACGAAATTAAAAATCAATTAAATATTGCAGTTGAAAAATTAGGAGAGGCCGAAGAAGAGTTGAAAAAATTAGCGAATCTGAGGAGTGAATTGTGGAAGTTGAATAATAAATTAAGAAAAGAAAAAAATGAGGAAGAAAAGAGAAGAATAAAAATGAGAAAGATATGTTTCAGAAGGTGGCAGAAAAATGGAGGGACCAAATGATACTATTGCAAGATGCATTAATTAAACTTAAACAAGAAGGTAATCGTTATTTTAATTATCGGTCAAAATCTGAACTAACAATCATTTTTTAACTCAAGCCTTTCTATTATACAGAGTCAAATCAGAAGTTACAAGAGTTGAGTGAAAAGCTAGAAACACTACAGACATCTAAAGGTAAAGATGACGAATTCTTCAAACAAATACTATTTTCTTGCGAGAACATTTTCTATACCGCTATGTTGACTAATGTGTTTTTCTTATTTTTTTAGATATATATTTTCAATACCTTGATTCAAATGTCATAAGACTTAGCTCTGATGGTTGAGGTGACTTTATACAGTTATATTGTCGCTTGCAACATGCATTTAATCTCAAGGGCCCATTGACGGATCATAAATTCGTTATTGTAAACAAAGAAATAGATATGAGCTGTTCAAAGAAGGAATTTTTTGATTTCATTGAAATACATAAATGTTCGATTAATAATCTAATCAGAATATACGACGTAAAGAAAGGTACGATATCTTAATTATCAGTCAATTTTGCAGATAATCTGAACTAGCACATCCTTGCTCTACAGGTGCTATAAGGTCATACATGGACATGTTGGGTGATTTGCCAGCACCATCGAAGCTTGGAGAACCTGATGAATGGGTCAAGCGACAGAAAAATGATCTTACATATTTTAATCGTACACCATCAGCCTCTAGCGGCTGAAAAATATCCTTTTCTATTTCAACATGTCAACCAACGAAATAAGCATATTCTAAAAAAAAAGTAATGATTATTGCATTAGGTAAGAAATTATTTTGGGCGAACTAAGTTTATTAAACTTGTATCATTGTTGGTTCACTTAGGTAAATTGAAACGATATGGTAGTGAATGTGGTACTATACCAGGAAGAAAGGTTGATCATATGATTTCTAATTCAAAATAATTATTTTTTATATTCGATTAATTTAGCAATACGGGTAAAACTTAGACATTACAATTATTTTATAAAAAAAAAGGATTAAATAAATCAATAATGAAATATTAATATTTTTCGGTCCGGGTTCGTTTTTCTTTATATAAAGATTTTGCTAGCATTTCAGAATTTTTTTTTTTTTTAAAAAAAATATTTTAATTCAAAAAGCTATAGAGAGAGAAATTATTCGCCATCCGCAAAAATTTCCTAATAATTAAAAAATTAAAAAAAAAAATAAGTTTGGATAAATCTAAGCAAGCCACTAAATATAGATAAATAAACAAAAGGAGAAGGACGTTCTCGTTAAAACGAGGCCACGAAGCGCTTCCAAGTTCTCCCTCCATTTATTCATCTAAATAATGGGCAATAATAATAGAAAAACAATTGACCATAAAGGTAGAACTATTTCCTTAAACGCTTGCCGATTAAAGTAGATAAACAATTGACAATACACAAATAGACGTTCTCGCACTTGGTTCGGAAGTAAACTCGCTAGACATATTGGTTTTTGTATGCAAAGGAAGACATAACCAATTCCTTCTCCAGAATTAGTAGACCTTCACCAAAAATAAACATGCTAAACTGTCTACCTACTAGAGAGGACACTATAAATTGCATTAGTAGTTGCAGGGTATCCTAACCGAAATTTCAGATTAATTTTAACAATAAAAAGAAAGGAAGGGGGAACCATTACAAAATCATTTGAATATCTACTTGCAAATGATTCAACTTCGACAACCGCATCACACGTGTTCAATTTTTCTAATGAACGAACACAGTTCGAAGAGGATGATGTATATATATAAGCCGGAATTGTAATAACAGCTACACCGAATGAAAATCTTAATAAGCCACGTAAAGCGTGCAAGAATGCAAAAATATCCTAAAAAAAAAAATAAATGAATCTATATTAATGTTATCCAAGAAAAGTTTACACGCATAATTAACAACTTATGTGTTATGATCTTGATTGCCATGATGGTGAGGCGATTGAATGTATTCCAATCCTATCAACATTTGAAGGTGGTATTAACAAAGAATTCAAATGATTTTCTTCAATGACGTTGCGTATTCTATCTAAAAGTGTATGATATGAATTCTCACTTAATTCATTTACATTAATTAATCTCATTAGTGCATTATCTATAATATTCTGAGGAATTGATTTTGTTAAATCAAAAGTTGAACAAAAATGGTTTTTCGATTTGATGAGGGTTTGTTTCATTACTTGAAATTTGTTTAATTAAAAGAAGGGTTTTACTTTTACGCTTGATTCAATTTTTTTAACGCCATGCAATTGTCTAATTCGGTGGTATTGTCATCTTTATCAACGCCACTATCATCAGTGTCAATCAAGGCAATCCCAATATAAAATTTTTTGGTTCTCATACCTTAGAAATGATAATACCATCATTCTTTAAGAATGATAAAATCGTCATACCTAAGGTATGATAAATGTATCATTTTTAGGTACTATAATACTATTATCTCTAAGAAACGATAAAACTATCATTCTTTAGGAATAATCTCTTCTGCCGTACTTAACAAAACATGATGTCCAGATACTATTCCTTGTATTAAAAAGTATTTTAATAGTAATTGAGCATACTCCGTATGTCGATCCTCTTTTATTAATAATACACTTCTGATTAGTATATCTCTACCAAGAAAATGTTTGAAAATAATTTTATCAAGTCAAGGTATAATTAATTTCACGTCGTTCATTTAAAAGGATGTCATCAAGTGATGGTATGATGCAAATCATCTATAATCGACATTAGTCCGAAATTTATATTATATCACATGACTTTACATTGATATTTCACGTAATTTTATAATAAAATGAGGGGTTTCTTTTTTTTTTAACGATGTGGTACTGTTGTAATTTTATTAAATTTAAGTTATGAATACAAAAGATTAAAAGTAAAAACAAAAACAAAATCTACAACTATTCCCCATAGCTCTATTTCAAACCCGTTTGAATTAAACAATCACTAGAAAATCCCTCTAACTAATCAAGAGATCCATATCTAATGATTAAGTATTTACCAGGAAATTCAAATGAAGTTGTCTGTACCTGTTAAAAATCAAACCAATTAAATCCAAACTTGACAGCTGAAATGGTTCATTCTTTCTAATGGTTAGAACATTTAGTAATAAGTTTAGGATCAGGCATATTTTTGATTTTGTCATGATGTTTTTTCTTATTGACAGAGATTCCTTTTTATTTTTCTTCTATTACCATAATAGCAGCATATCAGTCAATCCAAATCTCTTTATAAAGTGAAGATACTATGAAGTCTGCTAAGTTGACTAGTACTTCAGACGAGTTTTTGAAAGAAAATAACTTTCTAAATATATGAAATAAGTTAGAGGGAAAAAAGTCTTTTGATATATTGATGAATGCTTCTAGGTCTAACATTAGGTCGAACTGCTATAAGATGTCCTGCTTGATAGTCATAAAAAGGGATATATTATTGGCATTTTTTCCTAGCTTTGACAAAATAAGGAATTTAATAAATGCTAATATTGAACTATAAATCATATGGTTTGTGTTAGCTTTGGCTGCGCATTTCTAAAAGTAGTTTAGATCTTCTTTTTTCTGGAAATAAGAGGAGCATTTTTAATTATCATACAGGTCTGGCCTTCTACAAGCTAGGTTGGACAGTGTAGGTAGTTCATCCAAAATATATTTGATTTTAAAGGATTTATACTTTCTTAATTCTAACGATGTAGTGGTAGCAGAATCTTTGTCTCTGATATTTGTGTACTGAATGAAATTCTTCCAGTATAAGTTTGTAAAGTCAAAGCGATCCTATAGTTAAGAGTACCTATTAAAATCAAAAAATGCGAAGAATTAAAGTGAAGCGTTCAGATGTTTCCAAAATTTTCTTGAAGAGGATTCAATTGAAACATCCTCAAATAATAAATATAGCTGAAGTTCCTTGAAGGTAGTATTGTTAATATTAAGAGCAGGTTGTAGGAATTTCTCTTTTACTAATTTGTTCACTATATCATTATAGTAATCGCCTGAGTGTCCTTTGACTTTAAACAACTTATAGTTATAATTCTTTGCGTATACGTAATAGTAAGGTCCAAATTGTGTAGTTAAGGATTTTTTCTTTTCTTCTAATGATGAAGCTGTTCATAATAATGAAGTTATTAAATCTATCTATAACTGCCTGACTATCTAGAAAGACTGAAATATGAGATTTAGGAAGACAAACAATAATGGAGGTGAGCAGTACAAATAGTTTAGCTCTTATTGATAATGGTGAGTTTGTGATGGCTGCATTGAAAGTATTGCAATTATAAGCTGAAGACTCTGAGTTGATCTATCCTATCACATTTTGTAATTATTTGATGACAGGTTGGTTAGTGATCCGTCTGTATAGAATTGGAGTATTGTGAACTTAACCTGTTTCTTTCTTAACCTAGGATGAGAAGTGTAAACCTTTATCTTAAACTAGAGTATACTATAAGATTTGATGAGTTTTATTAGTCTGATTTATTTGTATTACATATATCTTAGAATTTTTGTAATGTTTTCAAAGAAAAATATAACAAAGAAATACTTAACTTAATACAAATTTTGCAGTATTTAGTACAGTATTTTAAAGGAAAAGTGAAGAAAATATTTTTCGCAACTTTTTTTTTATTTTAGAAGATTTATTATTGATTAAAACATAATTTATTCTTTTTTTTAAAAGTGCAATAGTTTGCATAATCTTTATTAATTTAAGATATATGAACAAAAGTAAAATATACAAAATTAAGAAAATACAAAAATCTCTATCTAATCGAAACTAAATTAAAACTGACCTTATACTTTTTCAGAATCTAATTTTAACCTAAGCTAAAAATATTATTTTCTAGTAATGAACTATATGAGAAAGGGCTTGGTCACTATAACACCAAAAATTCATCTAGTGGAATCTGAAACGGACCATTAGATCAACAGAATTGTTGATCATAGAACTAGAAGCAGAATGTGAAATATCATATTCTATTACTAAAGTGTTATCGATTTTAGATTTAAAATCTATATTATGAGATTTTTCAAAGGTGATCTGTTGAGTGTATTTATCTACTCATATTTATTGTATATGTTTGAAAATAAAATGCATAAATGCTGATAAGGTTGTGAGAA